AAGCTCCCAGGGCGGCAGCAGCTATACTTGCCCCAGCTGCGAGGAGGAAACCAAGAAAGGTTAAGAGAAAGGCTAAGCTAGTTGGCTGGCTCACACAGCCGAGGAGCGGTGAAGCCGGGGATTTAACCTTGCCTGGTATGAACGTCATTTTTCGTTGTGCTAATCCACAAAAGCTGCTTCTCAGAGTTGGTCAGAGCCCATCAATGTGAACGCCATTCCTAAGGCTATTGCTCTGCCGCGCGGGAAGTACTAAAGGAAGGGGCTCACCTGGCATCTTTATGCCTTATCTTGCTGCCTCCTCTTATATTTTATTTCACCGTGGCCACCGTGGGAGAATTAGGGGTTGAGGAATACGAGAAGCAGGAGGAAGGAGGAGCTGCTGGACTGGTTTAGCAGGCTGCTTTTGCTCTGCTTTTTCCTCCTCCAACTCAAGTCTGCCATCTTTTAGCGTCTCTCTGGGTTCAGTCTGACCCCAGTATTTCTTCCCCCTCTACTAAAAAAATGTGGAGAAACAAGCAGTTACCTGGTATGTGAGAAGTCCTAACATCAGAGCCAGGAGGCTGTGGATTTTGGAGGCCAGCTGCGAATTCCTCTTCACATCCGGGGGGGCCCGGCTCCCTTCTTCGCGCGGCGAGCAAGGCAGCAACAAAGGAGAATGCAGCATCTTTGAATTCTACACGCACACAATTCAGATTCGTCACCACAACGAACACCTAAATGTCCTTGCAGGGCAAGTGCTGAATGCAAGATCATTCTCAAATACCTCAAGCAGCGGTTCTCAAATTTTTTGCCTTGGTACCCTTTTACACTCCTTAAAGTTACTGAGGATTCAAAAACCTTTTCTTTATGTGGGTTATAACTATCAACATTTGGCCGGCACCACGGCTCACTAGGCTAATCCTCCGCCTTGCGGCACCGGCACACCGGGTTCTAGTCTCGGTCGGGGCGCCGGATTCTGTCCCGGTTGCCCCTCTTCCAGGCCAGCTCTCTGCTGTGGCCTGGGAGTGCAGTGGAGGATGGCCCAGGTGCTTGGGCCCTGCACCCCATGGGAGACCAGGAAAAGCTCCTGGCTCCTGCCATCGGATCAGCGCGGTGCGCCGGCCACAGCGCGCTGGCCGCGGCGGCCATTAGAGGGTGAACCAACGGCAAAGGAAGACCTTTCTCTCTGTCTCTCTCTCTCACTGTCCACTCTGCCTGTCAAAAAAAAAATAAATAAATAAAAATAAAATAAAATAAATAACTATCAACATTTGCTGCATTAAAATATCTTAAACTATGTTTATCAATTTATTTAACACATAGTAAAGCTCTTGTCTATCAAAACAAATGGTTTTCATCACAGAAATTTCGTTGTCCTGGGGCTAATGTTGTGGCACAGAGTGTTAAACCACCACTGTGACACCAACACTGTGCAGCAGGGTGCCTATCAGAGCCACAGCTACTCTGCTTGCTACTGTGCCTGGAAGAACAGTGGATGATGGTCCAGCACCTGGGCCCCTGCCCCTGCTCGGAAGGTTTTCTCTCTCTCTCTTTCTCTCTCTCTTTCCCGCTCTTTGTTTCTCTGCTTTTCAAAATTTTTAAATTACATTTTTCAAAAACAAAAAATTACTGAAAAGTGGCACTGTTTTACATTTTTTAAAAAAAGTTTTTATTTATTTGAGAGGCAGAGTCACCGACAGAAAGAGGGAGAGATAGAGAGAAAGGTCTTCCATTCGCTGGTTCACTCCCCAAATGGCCACAATGGCCAGAGCTGGACCCATCTGAAGCCAGGAGCCAGGAGCCTCCTCCGGGTCTCTGGCGTGGGTGCAGGGGCCCAAGCATTTGAGCCATTTTCTGCTGATTCCCCAGGCCACAAGCAGGGAAAAGCCAGGATGTGAACTGGCACCCATATGGGATGTTGGCACTGCAGGCAGAGGCCCAGCCTACTGTGTCACAGCACCAGCCCCTTGTTTTACATTTTTGCAAATATTTTTAATGCTGGATTAATAAGACAGCTGGGGGCCGGCGCCATGGCTCAACAGGCTAATCCTCCGCCTGTGGCGCCAGCACACCGGGTTCTAGTCCCGGTCGGGGCGCCGGATTCTGTCCCGGTTGCCCCTCTTCCAGGCCAGCTCTCTGCTGTGGCCAGGGAGTGCAGTGGAGGATGGCCCAAGTGCTTGGGCCCTGCACCCCATGGGAGACCAGGAGAAGCACCTGGCTCCTG